AATCATTAGACTTTTTTATCAAAAAATGTCGCCACGATATCAACAAACTTAATTTCAATCGTATTACCAAATTTTCCAATCTCTCCTCTGAAGAGTGGTCGGCTCTAAAAAGCCTTAGAAAACGCAAAGACATAGTTATCAAAACGGCCGATAAGGGCGGCTCAGTCGTTGTTTGGCGCACCGACCTCTACCAAAAAGAAGCTTTGCGGCAACTTTCTGACACCTCTTTTTATCAAAAGGTCGACAAAGACCTCACTGCCAGCAATCAAAACACCGTCAAGAATACGATCAACCAACTCATAACTAAACAAGAATTGCCGGCCACAGCAAAAAATCTCATCATAACCACTCCTAGAACTTCTTGTATTTACTTTTTACCTAAAATTCACAAACCTAACAACCCGCGTTGGCCCATTGTCTCGGGTTGCCTTACCGAACTTATCTAGACAAAATTATGGCTCCCATCGTCAAAACTTTATATATTCAGTAAAGACAGCCAACACGTTCTTCAAATTTTTCGCGACTTTAATTTCCTTGGCCAAAACAAACTTCTGTTCACCACGGATATTACGTCTCTTTACACTGTCATTCCTAATGGCTAAGGCCTTCTGGCTCTTAAACATTTTGGCCCATAAACGTGCACTTTTGTGAAAAGAGAACTAGATATAAAGGAGCAAGAACGTACAATTCTTAAACAAAAAGCGTCAAATTAAAAAAGAAGATGGGGAAGATGTCTTACTCACGATACGTCACTATTACGTTTTTCAAAGCGTTGTAATACCGGTTAACATATCGTTAGCAGTGCCTGTGGACAATATGAAGCAAGTCACGTGTTCTGATTGGCAATCCGAGGGTGCCTGCTCGGGATTACCGGCTTTGATCCCGCGCTAGGCAAGAATTACGTGAAGCAGACTAGCAAAGTTCGTAGTTTTTGGACATTGTCTGTGACATAGTTGCAAAGAGTGGCAGAAGAAAGTACAGCTGAGAAAACATAAACGACTTTTGTGGGTATACAACATATGTTGTATACACAATATGTTGTATATTCAACAGATGGCTCTCTTTCCCGGTTCACAAAATAAACGAAGCGAGTTTTTCTTGGTGTATAAGAAATCCTTTATTGGCTAAGCTTGTTCGATCAAGATGGATGGTTTATGAGCCTCGTTCTTGTGCTTCGCTTTTATGGACTTCGACTTCGTTTAGGCCCGCAAAAGAGTAAAAAAGAACTCGACTAACATCCAGCCAGCTTGACCTCACGCTCGATCAATAACGCATATTTATCATATTACTGGCAGGGCCCGTGAGCAATGTGAAGCAAATTCTGTGTTTTGATTGGTTACGCGAGGGTACCTGCTCATGAACGCCTGCGTTGATCCCGCGCAAGGAAAAAATTGCGTGGAGCAGTCTTAAAAAGTTCGTAATATTGGATAAAGTGGACGATGAAGTCGCAAGAAGTGGGAGTAGACAGTCAAATTAAAGAAAAAATAAACTACTCTCGTTGGTATATTCTGCCGCAAAAGTTGGCTTGCTTTCCCGGCTCTCAAAACGAACAAATCATTCTTGATTGGTATTGTAGCGAAATATTTTTGCATCTGAAAACTTTTTTTCGCGGGATGTGGGCCTTGTTTTAATTTTTTTATTCTTTGATAAAGTCAATTTGTCTTGTCAGTAAAAAGTCTATTGTCTTTATAAAATAAATAAAATAATACATGGTTGCTTCCCGTGTTCAACTCAATTTCTGACTCGTTCGCTGCGCTCCCTCGTGAGATATCGAGTTGTAACACAACTCGAAGAGAAATTCCATACCTACGCGCATCATGTATAGTTTTCTATTATGATTTTTGTGATTATTGCAATAAGTCAGTTACTGATGCTTCGATAAATTTTGCATGTATTTTTAAGCTTAGAAAGAGAGATAAAGACGCTGAACATATGTATTAATCGAGCGCTTTCCCAAGGTATATTTACCTACTGTTCTTAAAAATATGCGTCTGAAGTTATTATCTCAGAGTGATATTGACTGTAAATATGTAGCTGTTGAATTTATTTTTATTGCAATAGCATGAAAAAGTCCTGCATGTAGTCTGTTGGTTAACACCGGTCGAATTGTATTCCCCTAAATCCAAATTTTTTATACCAGCAAAATGGTAGACATCAAAAGCGTGATTAATGGCAAGCATTGAAAACACGTTATAATGAATGTTAGTTCAATCATCAACCTTGTTAGGTTAAATTCAATTAGCCCAAATTTGTTAACATCTCATTTTCAGAGCAAACAGGTATGTTTTCTTTTAATTGATTCATTACTGAATGCAGGTGGTCGACTCGAAATTTGTTGCATACTGAAAACATCAATATTGAGGTACTCTGTCTTCAGGAAGCATGGAATTGTCTACGTTATGTATGGTCGCATTCCTAAATGCTTTGATGACTTGCTTGACGCTTGGTAAAGGTCAGTTGCAAACTGAGAATCATTTTCTATCCCTAGATAAATATATTTCTTTCGTGCAATCTAAATTCGTATCACTCTTTGCTTCAATTTGGCTGATTCCTAACTGCTCAAGCACTGAACTCATAAAGTTATATGTACACGACGCGTCGTTACGACAAAACTAAGAATCAGAACCCAACAAATATTAATTTTAAAGGAAGGGAACCTATTGTACACTCGTCTTGTTGACGTAAAATGGGATTCGACAGGGGGGGATTATTAAAGACCCATTATATTTCGGAGACGTATGATTCGTGTGTGTTATTACAAGTTGCGTTCAGGTGACATTCACCAGGGTATGTTTTACATTCGTCAATATCTGTAAAAAATAAAAAGAAGGGGAAGGAGCTGAGAAAAGAGTAAGAACAAACAAGAAAAAAAAAGATTCAGTTACAAAAGAAACTAAGAACGCCCACGGTGGAGCGTTGCTTCATTCAAAACAATAATATTACATTCCTAACGCTAAACTCACAAGAAAACTACTCTTGAAAAATTTTGTTCTATTTTGGAAGTCGCAGGTTCGATAATTTGCATCGTAAAGCCGCCTAGGAAGAACTTAAGAAGTTCTTGTTATAAAAGTACAGTGCCAGTGCATGAGATGAATTGCATTTGCTGGGTCAGGAGCCCATTGCTCCTGGCTGGGTTTAAAGATTTGTTTGGAAAATAGGGTAGCCTGTCTTTCACCAATTTTTTTAGCCCTTTAATGCGATTAGAAAAAGTCTTTGACAAAAATTCTTTTAAGGATTATTTTTTAAGCAGACGTTTCAAAACTTACCAAAGAACAAATAACTTGAATAGAAAGATCCTCGTCAAAACCTTTTCGCAGAATTCTCGGGTGATTTTCAAATTTTATTTTAATTTTCTTCAGTTTATGTTTTTATCTTTTTAAACCTCTTATGCTCCAATCAATATTATTAAAGACCCATGACCAACGTCAACCACCTGCACTGGTTTTGGAAAGTGCAAACTGAAAAATTTCGCCCTAAATTTGTCCGTTTAGAAAGCTTCCGATTCCAAATAGAGATGTGTTACGTGATGCTAGACATTAATTGAAAAGATCCTTTGGGGGAACTCTTTAGTCATATATTTCTTTAATTAACGTTCAATAGTCAAGCAACTGTTTACTTGAGGAAAGACCGTCCATGGT